TGCTGTTAGGATGTGTTTCTGGGGCTCTCTGACAGGTGGATAGGCCTAATTACAAGGGAAACTCTGGCAAAATTTTTGAAAATTTAGGGAGTTAGTAAAATTTGGGGCTGCTAGTTTGTGGTATAAAACAAACTAAGTTGCATAAGATGCTAATGACGGATTTTACCCTCATTCGAGGACGAATGATCCTAAGTGAGGGAGAATGTAACACCTCGGAAAAATTTCGAAGTACTTAAGTGGTAAGCCCGGTAAATTTTGCAAAGAAAATAATATTTCATGGTGTCGGACTAGGCTTACGTGTTTGAGGATTGTAGAAATTCTTCGCGGCGAGTTTGCGAGCCGCGATTCGGACTTTTTGGGTTGAAAAATGCACCGAAAAGTAAAGAAATATTTTTGGCGGAAAAGTACATTTTGCGGTCCATTATGCGACCGCATAATCACTCTGCGGACCGCATAATGGCCGCAGAGTGAGGCAGTTAATTGGACCAATTGGAAGCAATTATGCGGTCGACTATGCGACCGCATAACTGTTATGTGGTGCATTAAGCGACTGCATAACGGTTATGCGGACCACATAGTGACCGCATACATAGGCAGTTCTTTTGGCTATTTTATAACCAACTATGCGACCGATATGCGGTCCGCATATAGGTTATGCGATCGCATACTTTGTTCCGGAGCTCCATTTTTGGGTTTTTAAAACCCGACCTTATTTCATTAAATATACTCTTTGGGTCATTTTTGAGCTATTATCTGACATTTTAGAGTGAGAGAGGGTGCCCTAAAGTGAGAAGGTGTTCTCCAATATTTGTCCTTCAAATCTTGTCCAAGTTTTGGAAGATTAAGAAGGGAAAACTCACTAGGTCTTCATCCTAGAGGTAAGATTCTACACCCTAACCCTCACTTTTGAATTTTGTGTAGAATTGGATAATTAGCAAGATAATTTCTCGGCAGTAGGGTTGTTTATTTACATGCATGTGATATCAAGGGGTGTAGGAAGATTTTTGAACTACGCATGGTAAATATTGGGTTGTGGGATGATGGAATTCTCCATAAAAAGGGCCTTGAAACCTTAATGCACACCTAGTGTTTGATAAAATGCTCTATGAGCTAGAACCATAATCATCTTCCTAATTTTGGTTAAATTTATTATATTTCTAAAATAGATTGAAGTTGCTAAGAATTCCGGAACATTTAGAGTGTAAGGAAGCTCAAGTGAGGTATGTTGGCTAAACTCTTCTTTAAGAATTGGAATTCTCATTATCCTTGTAAGTTTCGAGATGTTGATTATAAATCGAGTATTCCGATAATTTTTGTGATGAACATATATGTTCAATTCGTATTTCAAATGCTCTTATCATATTGAATTATAAATTGAGGATGTGTCCCAAACAATGAATTACGTATCCACATGTTATAATTTCTAGTCGTGATTTATGTGAAAGTTATTATGCCAAGTTATGTAGATATTGCGATTGTGATACACCTCCACCCGCATACATTGGAGTGAGATGACATGACCGCTTTGTGTGGGAATTATGGTATAGAGATTGTGATTGTGACACATCTCCACCCGCATATATATTGGGGTGAGGCGGCATGACCGCTTTGTGTAGGGATTATGATATTGTGGGAATGCACCTCCACCCGCTTACATTGGGGTGAGGCGGCATGACCGCTTTGTGTAGGGATTATGATATTGTGGGAATGCACCTCCACCCGCTTACATTGGGGTGAGGCGGTACGACCACTTTATGTATGGTCTTGGTATTGCTGTGGCAACACCACCCACATATATTGGGGTGAGGCGGCATAGCCGCTTTGCGTTAGTATTGGTATTGTTGATACATTTCCACCCGCATATATTGGGGTGAGGCGGCGGGGCCGCTTTGTGTGAAGATGGTCATAGAGGATCTCATCTTAAATCCTATAAATGTTATTGATAGCTTTTAATAAGCTTGCTATGGTTGAGACAATTATCTATATTATTCTATTTTCGCACTGGTTCATCATATTTATCTTGTATTTTTAAATTCTTAAATTGGTGTTTAGTTTTCATACTAGTACTATTTCACGGTACTAACGTCCCTTTTGCCGGGGCGCTGCATCTTTAAATGGATGCAGGTGGTTCCACAACAAGAGACATTGATCAGTGATAGCAGTACACTTTCTTCCTTGCTGACTTGGTGAGCCCCACTTCATCCTGGGGTCATGTATCTTTTGTTCTTTATGTATTATGGTTGAGGTATAGCCGGAACCTTGTTGCCGGCATTATTATTGTACTCTTCTTTATCTATAGAGGCTCCGTAGACATAGTGTGGGTTGTGTATTGGTACTGGGAAAGACAAACTATGCTATGTTGTGGTTGTATTACTTGTCCATTTGAGACTTTAAAAATGGTGAAACTTATGATAAGAAATTGGTAATTGCAGACACGACCACTTTATTGTTTAATTAAGGAAAACATATATTCCATTTATTCATAAATGAGTTTGGGTAGAAGAAATCTAACAGGCTTGCTCGGTCGAGTTCACTCGGTTGAGCGCCGGTCGCGCTCTACGATTTTGGGGCGTGACAGCGAATACTCCAGATAGGTTAACTCTCTCTCTCTCTCCACTATTTACTTCTGACTGATGCTGGAAAACGAGAGCATTTTGTTGAAGCAATGCAGGTGATAAGCTCTGATAAGTGGAAGCTAGCCATGAAAGAAGAGATAAATTCTCTTCAAAAGAATAAAACATGGATACTTATAGAGTTACCAAAAGGAAAAAGGCATTGCAAAATAAGTGGGTGTACAGGGTCAAGGAAGAGCATGATGGTAAGAAGAGATACAAAACACGATTAGTAGTAAAAGGCTTTCAGCATAAGGAAGGGATTGACTACACCGAGATCTTCTCCCCTATAGTCAAATTAACTACTATCAGGTTGGTGCTAAGTATCGTAGCTGCAGAAAATTTGCATTTGGAGCAGCTAGATGTTAAAACTGCTTTCTTGTACGGTGACCTTGAAGAAGACATCTACATGAAGCAACCTGACGGTTTTCAAGTTTCTAGTAAAGAAAATCTTGTGTGTAAGTTGCAGAAGAGTTTGTATGGTTTGAAACAAGCACCTCGACGATGGTACAAGAAATTTGATGGATTCATGCATAATAATGGTTTCACACGATGCGAGATGGACCATTGTTGTTATATCAAAAATCTTGATAAATCCTATATCATTTTACTGTTGTACATTGATGATATGCTAATTGTAGGATCTAGCATAAATGAGATCAACATGGTTAAGCAATAACTAGCGGAGGAGTTTGAAATGAAAGATTTAGGACCAGCTAAGCAAATGCTTGGGATGAGGATTATCAGAAACAGGTCTGAAGGAACCTTAAAATTGTCTCAAGAAAAGTACATACAGAAGGTACTAAACAGGTTCAGTTTTCATGATGCAAAGACCTCGGAAGCTATCTTAATCTGTCGAAGGACCAATCACCTAAGACATATGAAGAAAGGAAGTACATGTCCAAAGTTTCATATGCTTCGGCAGTAGGAAGTTTGATGTATGCTATGGTTTGCACTAGACCTGACATAGCCCATGCAGTTGGAGTTGTCAGTAGATACATGTCAAATCTAGGAAATGAGCATTAGGAAGGTGTAAAATGGATATTGCGATATCTCAAAGGCACCTCAGGTATGACACTTTGTTTTAAAAAGAGCAATATTATCTTACAAGGTTTTGCTGATGCAAATTTAGGCGGCGATCTGGATAGTCGAAAAAGTACCACCGACTAAATATTCACCTTGGGTGGTACTGTTGTTAGCTGGATGTCCAGACTTCAGAAAAGTGTTGCTCTATCTACCACTGAAGCAGAGTACACGACAATCTCAGAAGCTGGAAAAGAGATGATTTGACTCAAGAATTTTTTTAAAGAGCTAGGTAAAGAGCAGGACAATTGTGAGCTTTTCAGCTATAGCCAGAGTGCAATTCATCTTGCCAAGAATCCTGTATTTCATGCAAGATCAAAACATATCCAGTTGAGGTATCATCATATCCGAGAGTTGATAAGTGAAAAACTCTTTCCCTGCAGAAGATACCAAGATCAAAGAACCCGTCATACATGTTGACCAAAGTTGTGGGTGTTGACAAACTGAGGCTGTGCACTGCCTCAGTTAGCCTTCAAGACTGATAGCGTGAGGGCGCCACCAGAGAATAGCAAATCTTTATTTTAATTTCTTTCTTGATGTAACATAAGTTTAAGGGGGAGATTGATAGTAGCAAACCTGTTGTTGTATGTGAAAGGAAGAAAAATGGACAAAACAAAAGAAAGAAAAATAAAAAAGAGATGAAATTATGATGTAAGCGCTTACATCGACATCCGTACGATTGAAATAGAAAAAATTGAAACAAAACTACTCTATTTCGTTTTTTTTTCTATTTCCTTCTTTATCCCTTTCTGCATTTTTTATTTAAGGAAGAAAGTGCACCTTTATTCCTTGTAAAATTTGATCTTTGTGATATTTTACGAAGTATATTATTAAAATGTGTAATTTTGGTCCCTTTATATGGAAAATTTGTTATATTTGAATAATTTTTATAATTATATTATCTGAAAATAGAGTAACGATACAATATTAATGTAACATAGTGGTTTACTAATTTAAATAATTCATTAAATTAGTAAAAATTCCTAAATAAAATACACATTTCAATTATCTTTTGAAGAATATCATCCGAACTAAATTCATTCTCCAATTTGGCAATATTTCCGGGAACAAAAGTGCAAGTTTCAATTTTTTCCTATAAAAGAAATTACTACTCCATAAATAAGCAAAAAGCACCAGGATCGCGATCCGCGTCAAAACTATAACCCCAATCGACATCGTTCATTTCCTCTAAAATCTGACGGCCCAATTCCACCCGCGCCGAAATTTCCCCAAAAAGTCTCAAAATTTCATTGTCCTCCCTCCAAACTCCACACACCCTCCTCTTCACCTATATATATTCATTCAATCTTCATCTCTACCTCACACAAAATCACCATTTTCACATCATTCTCAGCTTTTCCCACTCTTACAAAAAATCCTTAAAAAATGGCAAGAACCAAACAAACAGCACGTAAATCCACTGGAGGAAAGGCACCAAGGAAGCAACTAGCAACAAAAGCTGCCAGAAAATCAGCTCCGGCAACCGGAGGAGTGAAGAAGCCCCACCGTTTCCGTCCAGGTACGGTGGCGCTTCGAGAGATCCGTAAGTATCAGAAGAGCACTGAACTTCTGATCCGAAAACTCCCATTTCAGAGACTGGTAAGAGAAATAGCACAAGATTTTAAGACTGATTTGAGGTTCCAGAGCAGTGCTGTGGCGGCGCTTCAGGAAGCGGCGGAGGCGTACTTGGTGGGTTTATTTGAGGATACAAACTTGTGTGCTATCCATGCAAAGAGGGTTACTATTATGCCTAAGGATATTCAGTTGGCTAGGCGGATTAGGGGTGAAAGGGCTTAGTCGCTGTTTTCTTTGGGATTTTGGTTCGTGTTTTAAAGTCTCTCTTATGGTGGAGTTAATGTGTATTTTAGACTTGGGATCTGGGGTTTTAAGTTTTTTCCTTTTGTTTTAATGTAACGAAAGATCTGGAAATGAAAATCAATGTTCGTAAACTTTGGTCCATATTTTTGTTTTTGTTTTTTAAAGCATGGTTATTATCTACTTAAGAGTGTCTATTATAAATAACTTTTCTACTTTTGGATAGATGTAAGGTTTGTGTATACATTACTTTGTGTGATTTTATTGGATTGTTATTATTGTTTGTTATTAATTGCTCTATATCTGTGCATATAGAATGAAATAAATTGTTTCTTGATGGTAAGTGTTACTCCATTTTTTTTTTTAAAAAAATAAAAAATTAAATAAAAGGTTGCTACTCAATAAAATAAAAGGTTGTAACAGAAGGTGTTACTCAATTTGTCTTAATGATGTTGTTTGATTAGGTAGGAACTAGAACATATGGTTTTAAAATAAGTTAATAGATATAAATCATTTTATTTAGTTTAAATTAAGAAGTTTGAAGTTAAATTGTTTTAAAATATAGAAAGATAATTGTATTTGAGAATCACATAAGTTGGGATGATGGAGTACTAGTTTGTGCAGCTATCCATTTGGTCTTCCCTTGTTTTACTCTGAGTTTTGCTGGTGAGTACTGTAATATTGTATACCAAATTTGAATAGTTTTATCTGCTCTGCTAAATCGTAGACCAAATTCAAAAGTGTCCTTTCTATTTTAGGTTTTTGATAGTGTAATCTCAATATAAAGTGATGAACTCATGTTTTCCCTAGTGTATAGATAGTTTGAAATGGCTAAAGCTGTAGATATGCATTGCTCACAGATATGTGTAAATGCACAGAATACATTTAGAGTCTGTTTGGAAAGCCATGTGTAATTACTTGGTTGTGTAATTACTCAATCTGATAATTTCACAGTATAGTAATTACAGGGCTTGTTTGTTTGTCGTGATGAAATTACAATGTAATTAACAATGTCATATTTGGTTGTACTAGTGTAATAATGTAGTTAAATAATTTTTTCAGATTAACATGTAAATAAATTTTACGGTGAAAAAATACTTATGTAATAACAAATATTAAATATTATTTATTATTATGTATTAAATATACATATTTTTTGTAAGAAAATATATTAAATAATTATAAAATAGACTAAAATAATTGGTATTCTCCATATAAATAATTTTATAACTTGAAAGAGAACAATGAAAATATAGCATAATTTAGTAATAACGTATGTCAAATTTCAACAACAAATAAGATAAGCTCATTTGGTCTCTTAACGAAGGTTATTGTAGCAATTACAATGAAAGGAACAAAACTTGGAGAAGCTGTATAAAGCATGGCTGGTCTATTGAAGGATTACGTTCCATGGGAACTAGAATTGATATCCCAAATGAAATTAATGAATCATCTAGCAATAAACTAATTATATGCAACAGGACAACGTCAGATTACATGATGAAAAATGTCATTTGTTTCCTCATATGAAAAATATATTTGAAAGGAAAAAGAATTTGAAAGGTTGCCTTGTAATTACATTCAATTCTTTACTCCCCTTAGAATTGGAGAGTGTAATTATTCCCTCCCAGTTACACCCAATTCTCCACTAACCAAGTAATTACTTAGTCAAATAAATATACCAAGTTGTGTAATTACAACCAATTACACACGAATCCAATTCCCTTGTAGCTTTCCAAACATGCTCTTAATAAGTGCAAAGATAACAGCATACCATGACAAATCCAAAAAACTCTCTTCTGCTTTTGGTTATCTCAAAATATTGGATTTTGATGAGAAGGTAAAGATTTCATTAAAGAGTACCAAGAAAGTATTGGAATGATTGATACGAAGAGTGTTCTTCTCCTCTCTATATGTTGAAGGAGTACATGAGATCAATCGGTGAAGCAAAATCAGTTACAACCTTGTTCTCACTTCTCACACCAAAAGGAAAGATTTTTTTAGACATCTACAGATGACATGTGCTCTGCTAAGAAATCAGAATACTAAACTCTTACTAACCAAAACAATCATCTTCTACTGCAATAGCACTAGATAGATGTTTATAGCTCTAGGCAGTGGAGATTTACTTCTTTCAAGATCTTAAAAACGGAAAACAGGAGATTAAAATCCAATGGTCAACATCTAAACCTCATTTCTGGAACTCAAATTGTTGCTTGAAAGTTCTAATCCAAAGATAGATTCTAGCCAAAAGCTTTGTAAACTTGGTTGTAAGAGGACAAGGCTTGCATTTATGGCCATCAAAGTCTTACACTTTCTCCCTATTTCTGCCAAAAATGCAAATACCTTCAAGAGAAATATTCACAAAGCATCCACATGAACACGAAAAGTACATTAAACAACTGTATTAAGGGATGTCACTTTTTTATCATTTTCTAAGAAAAAAGAGACAATATCAATTATGCACGCATGACGCATCACTTTTGCTCCTTGGAAAAAAGTGTGTAGTTTTGGTTGCTGTAAAAGAAAAAAACACAGATATTTTTTTGATAAGAAATGAAAAATACAGACATGAAACTTAATTAATGTTCTCTGGCTGGAAAATGGAGGATCAGCTCAACCTGCATGCCAAGTTCCCTGGTTAAAGAAATAAACAACACAAGCACAATAAGACGTACATATCCCAGAACCAATAGGCAATAGTAACAGGAAATGGATTAACCTGGCTAGGAATGGGCAGGATCGGAGGAGCTACAACCAATCTCCTTATCAGTTTAACCTTCTTTCCTCTTTCCATTTTATTCATGTATCATCAATTTGTAAATTTCTACAGTTCTAAGAAGACAAAAAACAGTCCTTTGACGGGAAATGCACATGATCTTGCTGGCAGGCAAGTCTAGTTTTTCAAGAAGAGATTCTGCTGAGCAACGATAAATGCCAAAATGGATCCATCCAGTAATACGGTAATTTCATTGTTCTTGATGCCTTGAAGAAGTAACAACTTTTTTGCAATGCAGTATGCTGCTACAACGCACTTTCAGGTGAGAAGGTCTAAGTCTAGAACTTTAAGAAGTGAAGCTCATGTTGCAATTGCAAAGCCTCCGTAGCTGGTCCCTAATTGGTCAGGCATACAGGGCACATAGAGTGTCTTTATCCCCCAAGCCACTGGGATGAGGATAAACTAGTTTGGGGTCTGACTGCCAATGGGTTGCTTTCCACCAAATCTGCTTATCATTACATTAGTGCACAAGCTAGGAAACATGCTGACATTGTTGATGCCAATTTCAACTGGATTTGTTAACTCCACACACCTAACAAGATTAAGTTAAGTTCTTCTTCTGGATGCTCTCACATTTCAGACTTCCCATTAGTCACTATCTCCACTCCATCGGGCTCAATGTCCATCTTGTCACTACTGCGTAAGTGCCAACCAAGATATCCCTCGTATCTTCTTTGAATGCACAAATGCACAAAAAATTTGGTGCCATTTGTACCAGCAGTGTACGAACAACTCTTGCTTTCCGACTGGCCTAACATTTGGGATAACATCAGAAAGAAGGCCTTTAATGACCTTATATGCTGGGAGAATCTACTTCCTTTCTGTTTCTGGAATTTATGGCTGACTAGGAACAATAACTTGTTTGAGAATAAGTATAATCCTACATCGGCCTCCAACACCATTGCCAAAGCTGTCAAATAAATCTTTGTAGCAGGCTAAACAGAGTAGTATTAGACAGCAAGTCACTATACCTGTGAAATGGGAGGCCCCGGAAACTAGTTGTTTTAAACTAAATACTGATGGATCCTCCCTGGGGAACCCAGGAGTGGGGAGTGTAGGTGGGGTTATCAGAAATAGTAGAGGGGATTGGTTAGTGGGATTAGTGAAAGGCATTCCTATTGCCACTAACAATCTTTCGGAGCTGCTAGCTCTCATGCAGGGACTGGAAATGGCAATGAAAAAGAACCTAATACCGCTGGAAGTCACCACTGACTCATTTGACATAATACAAATGCTGAACAATGGTAACCTTATTTACGATCCAATAATTTCCCAATGCAGGTTGCCACTGGAGAGGTTGGGGAAACCAGCTGTTAAGCATAGCTACAGAGCAGTAGTGGACCTCCTCGCAAAGAAAGGAAAAAGAAGGAAACAGGCCACACTTTTTGGTAGTTCCTCCTATGTTTGCTGCAAATGTTATATGGGCAGACATACTAGGAACTATTTTTGAAAGAACTACATCGGCTTGTAATAGTACTAGTAACTTGATTTACAATGCTACTCTACTAGGGAGCAATGCTCTCAGGCTACTATAATTTTGTTATGTATAATTATCCAGATAACCAAAAAAAAGTATAATAACTTTTTTCTTTTCTTTTCCCCCCTTTTTCTTTTTTCTAGTTTGATAACTCAATTAACAGAGATAACCTAAAACCATTTCAAATTAAGAAATACGAATTTTTTTTTGGGCGTTATGAAACTTTGAAGAAAAGTTAAAAGAATTCGTGCAAAGTGATTATAAGTGATAATTTTTTTCAGTTTTAATCTATATATTTGCTCAAACTACATACCAATATTTATATCTTGCTCAAAATAAACTCACGGGCAAGGAGGGAAATCTTGGTTTTTTAATTTGCCTTCCCTTACTGCTTTAGTTTTATAATTATGCCCTTCAAAATATTCACATGTTATAGGCATGCTGGTTTTTAATATGATATGGCATTGCCAAATGGATACTTTTTATTTTTTGAGCAAAAAACCAATAGTTGAATGACTTTTGTTGTCCAAAAAGAAACAACAGTTACTTTAGTAGGTTATTTTCATAAGTTGGATGACCATCCAAGGAATTAACTCGAAAGAACGCAAATAGTTGAGGAGTTTAATTTGTTCTACTTACTTGGATAATGACTTCAAGACAGTCGAATCCCCCTAGCGCTTCGACTTCTTCCTTAATCTTGAGAGCTGAAGCCTTAGGGAAATCAGTCCTTAATCACCTTAATCTGTTTCAGTGCCTGAATATCTTTAACGCTAAACGGGATCTCCTCAAGATCATAACAACTTTTGATAACAAGTTTTTCAAGCACGGGAAATGATTCTGCTGACGCATGTCACCAAGTCAAGCGTACATTATGCAATCTCAACATTTCAAGTTTGTGGAACTCGATATCTCTACCCAGGCACCACTCATCCTGCTCAAAGTTGCTAGGGGTGCTTACTTTTTTTAAGTCATCAAAGGTACTTTTCTCTTCATTATAGTAGATTCCATTTATGGTTACCACCACTAATACTTATAGGGATTAGAGAAGCTATCCATGACAAGAGTATAAGTAGACGACAAAAGATTCCGAAACGAAGCATCATATCTCACCAGTTTCAAATAGCTAGAAACTTTGATAGATACAAAGAAAGTGTTTAACGCAGATTTTCCCACACGCATATTAGGTACAGTATTATATATAATTTGACAATGGAACACCATATTGATTTTACATGGAGTATGTTTTAACTTATTTTTGCACTTTTCAGCTTTTGATTCTCACTCAGCATAACAATTGGAGTATCATTTAATTATTAATATAGCCATATTGGTTCTTGCACTAGTACCAACGTGCACATATAGAGTAGAGCTGCTCTATGGCACCATATTTCCATGTTTCTGATATACTTATTACGTATAAGTAGTGCCAAGTAATATGACTGAAACAAGAAGTAGAATCTTTTGACACAAGCTTGGTTTCAAAGTGACTTGGGTACAAGAGAGTCGTGTTGAAGGCCTGTTGTATTGCAAAATTCCACAGTAGGATAGCTTCAGGATTTACATTCAAGAAGATAAGGGTAGAAAGCTCTTTGTAAAACTGAAACTGGCTACTCTTCAGCTATATTTCAAAAGGTGTTTAAAGCGGACCAAAAAGTGATCAGCCCGTGCCATTTTTACCTTTCTTTGAAGGGCTAAAAGTGGGAAGGGGCGGGGGCAGGGGAGGGAGTAAATTGCCTGCACCATAAGCAGTGCAGAACCAATCATTGTAAAAGAATGATTGCTTCTGCTCTCTTACTTGGATAATGACGTCAAGACAGTCGGATCCTGCTATGGCTTCCACTTCTTCCTTAATCTTGATAGCTGAATCCTCAAGGGATTTATTGCTTTGAAGCACCTTAATCTGCTTCAGTGTCTGAATATCTGCAAAGCTAAAAGGGATCTCCTCAAGATCGTAACAATATTTGATAACAAGTTTTTCAAGCAGGGGAAATGATTCATCTGCAGACGCATGCCACCTTGTCATGTATACATTATACAATTTCAAGATTTCAAGTTTGTGGAACTTGACATCTTCACCCAGGCACCACTCATCCTCCTCAAATCTCAAATCAACTAACTTGAGATATTCTAGATTGGGTAGTTTCGCAATCATGGAAACCGGCACTCTTCTACTTGTATTCCCTCTTAGTTTTAATATCTTGAGATTTGAAGGCAAGTGCAACTTGAAAATGCCACAAGGAAATTGTAGGTCAAGAAATTGAAGCTGGGTAAGAACTTCAAATTTTGGATTGCGAGTTCTCATTTGTGGAGTAAAATCGTACAAGCCACCATAGGTAATCTGAAGTTGTTGAAGATTAGGACACCTCCGCATTACCTCCTCCACACGATCAGCATCATACACAGATATGAAAACTTTCCCTAAGAACCTCAAATTTTCTAGTACAACAGATGATTCTGCAAAGTTCTCCTGCTTATTATTTCCCAAATAATGGAAATCAAATTCTGCCTCGCTGATATGGACATGCCTTAACTTTGCCAATTTCCAGAATGTAGTTGATAGCAATACAGTACCTTCAGAATGGTGCACTACCAAAGTCTCTAAATGGCACATACCTGATACCTGCTGGAAATCAAATCGATCTATACGAATTGATAAGTACCTTAGGTGATTTAGTGATTCTAATGAAGCCACGGACAAACCAAACACTCTAATACAGCTCATATCCAATACATTGAGAAGTCTAAATTCAGCAATCTGAGATGATGCATTCGGAACATAGCAAGTACCATCAAAAGGACAGAAAAATAGTAGTGACCTTAGGTGTTGGTCCAAAAGCTTCAGTGGCTCGTATCCTGGAGATGCACAATCGTAATGATCATTTTGTAGAAGACAGCTCAGCCTGATTTCCTTACAATCTGGTGGTGGAAACTTGGTAAGCTTATAGTTTGTGATATGGAAGCTCACCCCCTTCATCACTGCCATAAACTTTTCTTCTCTACTCCTCTTCAAGCAAAATTCAAGCACTAGATCATGAACCTGACAGTATTTGACCTTACCTTTATGTCCTCTCTTTGAAACCATTACCAGGCTACAACTAATTAGATCCATCAAATAACCTCCAGCAACCTCTTCAAATCTCCTCGATTCAATGCTTTGCACGATACCTTCTGCTTTCCATAAATTTATCAATCGAGACACTTCAATTTCATGGTCCTCTGGAAACATTCCCATGTAAAGAAGGCAAGGTCTTAATTGAACTGGCAAATTATCATAACTGAACTGTATGGTGGCCAGACCATATTCTCCCACCTTACCAACCAAGGAAAACAAAGCATTTGAAACCTCAAGCCACCAAGAGGCTTCCATTTTTTTCCTTGAGATAATTCCAGCCATTAAGATAATTACTAGAGGCAATCCTTTGCATTTTTCTGCTGCAGATTGACCCAATAGGTATAGTTCAGGTGGGCAGCTTTCCTTCGGAAATACTTTTTTCTGCAATAATTCCCAACTCTCTTCTGGTGTGAGAAATGGAAGAAAATAAGGATCAGTATGGTACTTGACCTGCTTAGCTAATTCCTCAAGTCGAGTTGTTAGTAGCATTCTACTTCCCATTTCATCATTTGGAAAAGATAATCTCAACTCATCCCATGCCATGACTTCCCACATATCATCTAAGACAATGAAGTATCTCTTGCCCATTAAACTTTTCCGCAACATATCAGCGAGGTTGCGTTTTTCTTTTAAATTTTCCTTGCGACCAGTTACTTGATTGGATTCCCCAAATAACAACTCTTCTAACGTGCCCTTGAAACCAGTAACTTGTCTGAAAATCTCGAAAAACACCTCTTCTAGGTCATATGTTTGTGAAATGCAGCACCAAGCTTGAGCGTCAAAGTGACGAATAATTGTGCGATTTCTATATAACTTTCTAGCTAAAGTCGTTTTACCTTGTCCCCCCATGCCAACAATTGTGATGACATCTAGTTCATCTTCTCCTTTAATCAGCTGTTGAATTATTCTTTCTGTGTCACCCTCAAAACCCACTATATCCTCAATATCTGTAGGAATGCTATTTTGAGTCAACACATGCTTAGGGGGCTTTAATGCAAGGCAGGACTTGGGAGCAGTAAAGTTCTTTGACCAGATCTCAGTCACCTCCACACTAATAAGTTTGATCTCTTTTATGATTGTAGGAAGTGAGCAGAAAAGATGCTGAAGTAAATTATATTGAACAAGAATAGAGTCAATAGCAACTTCAGCCTCATATGCCAGATTGATAATACGCATCTGCAGATCTTTAAGAATTTCATATTCATGTTCAAACTTTGCAACATCTCCAAGAAATGATCTTAGTAGTGAGAGCTCTTCCTTTAAAATACCAATATGAGGCTTCATCATGGTCGCTAAGCTAGATTTAGAACTCAACATCTCGTTGAGTTTATCTAGGAGAAAATCCATAAAGCCCAACCCACCAATTGCCGGAAACTGAGATGGAGAGAATTTCAACATTTTGCAGTGCCTTTCTTCCATTTCTGCCTTTAGATGTTCAATTTTCTCCAGTATCTGTGCCACGCCAATATTAATCTCGCTGGTCTTGCCCTGGATTGAAGAGCTTTCAAGAAGCTTTTCAGCAACAACAAATATATCACCCACAAGATCTACAACCTTTTCCATGACCTCATCCAATGTCTTACCATTAATAACACTATTCGGCACATTTGCAAGCAAAATCAACAAGAACTCTACTACCGCATCAATCTTTTGTGCAGAGACATTGGTCTGAAAATCCTTGAGCTTTTCATTTTTGAAATACTCCATCCAACTTTGGAGCAGATATGAAAAACGATTCAGATTGCCTGCATTCTTTAATCTTTTTAGGGACTCTAATGTATCATCAATCTCGTTTTGAGCCATCTCCCTTGGATAAGGTAAAAAGTTCCTGCAAGTCAGCAAACTCATGTATTACTCTTCACTAAAAGCATCATGTTTTCGTTTTCTTTTTGAATGTATCTTCAATTTGGAATATATGCCATTATTCTTATGGAGAAACAAGTTCTCTAAACATCAGTTTTAATTACAATATTGTCACTCTAAGTTGTAACTTACTTATTAAGAGGCTTTTCATGAAAATCTAAAAAGAAAACAAGTTCCCTTAAACCATGTAACTAGTTAACGTTTTATATATGTCAGAAAGCACTTGGAAATATGGACTTCAAAAATTATAAATGGGGAAGCTTCGTATATGGACCTTCTAAAGCAAGTCAAGTTTGTGGTGTTTTGGGGGAAAATTGCCACTTTACTACTGCAATTTGAAAATAAGCCACAGTTCCAAAAACTAACAGAAATTTAGCCCTTTTTTAACATTTGGATAAAAATACCCCTAACTAAAGCGAAGACCTGCTTCTTCGTCTTTTCTGTTTTTTCCGAACTCCAGGACGCTGTCTGGAATTGAGCTTTTGTAACTTAAAACTCCAGGACACGTCCTGTAAGTATAAGCTAAAATGGCACATGTCCTTGAGTTTAGTTTTTGTAACTTAAAACTCCAGGATTGTGTCCTGGAGTTCGCCTATTGACTGTCTAGATCAAACTCTTCCTAAATATTCAAGTTCAAAAGAGATTGCAAAACTTGAACTTGGCCTTTTGTCCCAAACCCTACCTAAAGTACCAGCCACTACCAAAAGTTAGAGGCCCAAAACCCCAGCCCTAATGATTAAATAAACCACTCCAAGTCAGGAAACACAATTACTCAAAGACCATTGCAGCTTATTAAATCATCAAACTTTACAGCATATCCATCAAACACCAGAAACCTCTCCTCAAACATTGATATAACACGCCGTAGAAAATGGCACAACGTAACATAGTAAAAAAATTACTGATGATATTGAAAGAAGCAAGGTCATTCCTGTTGAAGAATCCCACATATGTTGGTGAAGGCTCAAGGAATGGGTGGTCTCTTATACGACCTGGGTAAGCTTGCTTCTGGGATTGAGTTAGACCTAAGGTCTATTTTATTAACAATCTTCCCCCACGGCGGAAATAAATGCCATGGATATCAATGAGGTACAAAAATATTACCTGCAAGTAAGCAGCATGAATCCTGCCCTTACTAACCCCCGCAGCTTGAGCAGTATGGACACCATACCTGAAAATAAATCCCTGCACGCAAGGCAACAATCTAAATTGAAAAACAGGAAACATTCAGTTTACAACAAGAAAAGGACACACATTTAAGAGCATCGAATCCTACAAACAACAACCACAAAGGCCCGGAAAAACTATCAAATATAGTCTCAAGCACCAACTATCAAATATAGGTTACATAGTTTTACATTTAATGGAGTTTCGAACTAATTAGTAATTGTGCCAAAAGAGTACTTGATCCATAATTGCATAATTCTCTGTAGAAACAATGTTCTGGCTCTTTGTACTATATTGGGCAAAAACTCTAAAAGGAGTGGACTATACTGTCAGTGCATAAAAACATGTTTATCGTCATGCTTCGTATTTTCATCATGGAATAGAAACATACACTCACTAGACCAAATTTAATGTAATTATAAGGAATTGGCTAGGCATTCATCTCCTTATATATTGATTGATTTTTGTTTCATTACCCCATTGTTCATTATCTTCTGACTTCTAATATGCCAATGCTATTCAATGAGCTTGTGTGTCTCTCCTCTACCTTGGAAAAAAGTGAAGTTAGGTCGGCGACCTACTTCACTTTTGTACTTTTCATTCTTCTATATAAATAAAAGTTGGCATGTTTGCCTTTCTCTAAATGAAAAAACGAAGGTAATATGGTCCATAGTTGAGAAGAAAAACATTTTCACAACAAGATAGTCCATAGTTGTTAATCAAGGTGAAGGTACAATCACTTAAATGTCATATTCTAACTTATAAATACCAAGTGAATCAACTTAAATTTCAAAAAGAAGCTAAGTAAACGGAAGTTCTGCTTCAGGCTCACAATTAATTAAACAAGTGTGAAGAATAGTCGTCGTCTTTTTCGCCTATCTTGTATTTCCAACTTATCCTGTAAAGTAGCAACATAGATGATAATTATAATTAAAAATGCTTAGCAGATTCCTCCCAGAAAGGTTAATATTGCATTTAAACGAAGATGCACTAATAAACATAGCAAGAGTTTTGTCAAGAGAGACAGTGCTATTATAATTAACTGAAGGCAAATGGAACTTAAAATACAAGTACAATAGACATCATAAAATATGAATACACAAGATCTTACTAAGTTGAGGCTCAGACTACAGCTCCACTCTAACTCTAACTCAAGAATCTACATTCACTTGGATATCGCCATATCAATAGAAAGTTAGGTCAAATATAACTGAAAAAGATAATTAGGATCACTAGATTTAGCACATAAATAAATTGTTAGATCAAGAAAACGAACGATGAAAATATTCAAATCTGAGCAAAGAAGACTAATTGACAACTCTAGTAGGAAAATGGTGAAGAAGTTTTTCCTTAAGTATTCTTAAAAGACTTGAAAGAATGCCAAAAAACTATGGTCAAGCAAAAGCTCAAAAGTCACCTTCAATGATCAAAAATCGAATCTGCTATAGCGGATTGTGTTCGTATTAAGTGAAGAGGTTGATAATAATAGTAACTCGGAGTATATTCAACGGCGCAGAGAGAGAATGTATGAGCTCTTATTTAGTTGCTAATGGTGGAAAAATATCCATTTCCATTGGCCTTAATGAAAAACATACTGTATATTATATGGCTCCAAACTCCAAACTCAATGATTAATTAATATGCATTATTAAATTTAGTGCTACTTTAATTTACACATCCCACAAGTTATCTGCCCAACGGTTATTTTTGTAGAAAACGACAAATTACAGAAATGATTTCACTTTAGATGTCTAGAGTGACAAACATCTTTTATAGTATTCTTTTTTGGTATCTTATAATGATTTGCCATTTTTGAAACTAGAGAATAAAGATATTTTGTAGTGCTTCTGTCTGGATATATTGCCTTGCATGACAAATTTATATAGTACGTGTTATCAAATGTATATTTTAATTTGTAATACATATCACTGGAATAGTGCCCGATAGTGGAGTTTTCTGATTTTGGTCCCTTAAAGTAGGATATCTTTTTATATTTAAATTATTTTTAGAACTAGATTATCCTAAAAATGGATTAATCGTACAAATTTAACATAATACCAGTGACTGAATGATTCATTAAATTTGTAAAAATCCATAAGTAAAGATCAAAAGTACAGTATTTGATTAATTGAAGGTCAAGAATACTTATCCAAATATCACAAAGACTAAAATGAGTACTAGTATATTCTCCGGGACTAAAAGCACAAGCTTCCCTCGTTTAAAAGGAAAAACAAAATGCGTTAGAAAACCAAAAAGCACCCGGATCATGATCCGCGTCGAAAGTGTAACTCCAATCATTACCGTTCGTCCATTTCCTCTAAAATCCGACGGTCCAGTTCCACCCGCGCCGAAAATTTCCCCAAAAAGTCTCAAAATTTCATCTTCCTCCCTTCACATTCCACACATATATTCAGTCACCCTTCAACTCTTTCCCCACACAAAATCACAACTTTCACACCATTCTCAACCTTTTCCACTTTTACAAAAAATCCTTTAAAAATGGCAAGAACTAAACAAACAGCACGTAAATCCACTGGAGGAAAGGCACCAAGGAAGCAACTGGCAACAAAAGCTGCCAGAAAATCAGCTCCGGCAACCGGAGGAGTGAAGAAGCCCCACCGTTTCCGTCCAGGCACGGTGGCGCTTCGAGAGATCCGAAAGTACCAGAAGAGCACTGAACTTCTGATCCGAAAACTCCCATTTCAGAGATTGGTAAGAGAAATAGCACAAGATTTTAAGACTGATTTGAGATTCCAGAGCAGTGCTGTGGCGGCGCTTCAGGAAGCGGCAGAGGCGTACTTGGTGGGCTTGTTTGAAGATACAAACTTGTGTGCTATTCATGCTAAGAGGGTTACCATTATGCCTAAGGATATTCAGTTGGCTAGGCGAATTAGGGGTGAAAGGGCTTAGTGAATTTTTGTTTGGGTTTTGGGTAAATTTTGCTTAGTCTTTTGAAGAGGTTTTATGGTGGAATTAATGTGTAGGTTGGACTTGGGATCTGGTGTTTTAGGTTGTCTTTAATGTAATGAAAGATTTGGAAATGAAAATCAATATTGTGGTAAAAAGCCTGTCCATATTTTTGTTTCTTGAGCTATTCACTTGTCTCTTCCCTTTTTTAGTCTGAGTTTTAATGGCGACAACTGTAATTTAGAATTGCAATTTTATTTACAAGTCTAAGAGGCAGGTTTATTGTTATGTAAATGAAGCAAAACTTGGTTATATCAGAATGTCATTTTGAACAGAGTTCTTTCCAATATGGGAACATAACTTTATTTGCTCAAGTACAGGATTAGGAGGATAAGGATAGGTAACATAATCACAATGTAAAATATTCAAGATAAATTTAACAATGAAATGGGGGTTTCCAATAGAAAAAGGGCATATGGTCAAATATTGGACCACATACAGCTGTTCAGACTCTGCTAATAAATCATGTACTGAACTCTTACTAACCAAAACAATCATCTTCAATTGGAATAACACTGTCGAGATAATCTAAATTATGCATTCCTCTTGATGTTTATAGCACTAGGCAGAGGAGATTACTTTTTTTAAGAACTTGAAAGGGAGGTTGGAGATCAAAATCCAACGGTCAGCATCCAAACCTCATTTCTGGAATTCTATTTGTTGCTTCAACAGTGGCATCAAGATGTGATGAATATTCTAATCCAAGGATAGCTTATAGCCAATGGCTCTGTAAATTTGGGTAGAAGAGGATAAGGCTTTCATTAATGGCCAGCAATGTCAGCACTTCTATCTCAGACGAATTTCCAATCATTCAGAGCACATGTGACTTCCACTGGAGGCATATTTATCCCCGTTTTGGCCAAAAGATCAAACACCTTCAAGAGAAGATATTCACAAAGTATCCACATGTGAACATGAAAAGTACATCAAATTGACAAGTTTGAGAAATGAGAATGGTTTAATGTCTGAGAATTTGAAAGGATTGCCCTTGTCCAATATTGGAAGTGATACTCAAGGTGAACAGAAGTCTGGATAACAAGACTCAAAGGAGTCTTTTGTCGCGAATACAAGAAAACTCTAGCTTTCATTCCCTGTCTTTAACAAAATTTCACTTCGTCCAACCCTCTCCTTTCCCTGCACAACAAAGAAAGAGACAAAGTCAGGCTCCTAAGTTCCCCATACTTTCTAGGTCTCGACGAAAAAGTTCCTATTTATCACTATCTCTATACGTGTATAAGTCTGCTAGCATATGAAATACATAGACTCTATAGCAAGAAGCAAACAATTGAATGAAGGAAAAGGCGTCAAAGAGTTCAAATTCATTATAACCGCCTCACCTCTTTCCCGGTGCCCAGAGCCAAAACCCACTGGTTGGCACAGGAATGGGAGAGCGCTTGAGAGGATTAATGGGAAATGGTCAATCTTGCTAGGAATGGGCAGGAGGAGCTACAACCAAACCCCTTATCAGTTTAATCTTCTTTCTTCTTTCCATTCTATTCATGTATTGTCAATTTAAGAAGAGGAAAGCAGTCTTTTGACTGGACATGCACATGATCTTGCTGGCAGGCACGTCTAGCTTTTCAAGAGGAGGTTCAGATTCAACAATGATAAATGCTAAAATGGATCCATCCAGTAATGGTTATTTCATTGTTCTCAATGCCTCAAGTAAGAAATCTTATGCAATATGCTGCTACAACATACATAGTTAAGATAGTCTGAGGAGGATAAATAGCATAAATTCAGATATTATACTTCTATATTCAGGAAAAAGCATCATTAATGGATAGATTTCAAATAGCAAGGATATTTGATGCTAGCACAAGAAAGTTGCATCAATGTCTTTGACATTATTAGACTTAGGTCCTCTTGCCGCACTTGTGCCATCTTCTTTATGATTTAGGAGCTAGGATGTTTCAAGAAGAATCTTTTGATTGGAACTAAAGCACCAAACAACATTAAAATAACAACGTTCAAACCTATGCTTTTCTTTTAAAAGGAACTATTTGAATAAATATACAAGATTATATCTACACCTAACTACAACTGAGAGAAGTAACAAACTTTGAACAACTCCCCCCCCCCCCCCCCAACAACAAACTCAACAGAAAGATACTTCAGACCACGGTAATAGATCACATTTTCTGTTTGATCAGTAAAGTAGAACTTCTAAATAGTGTCTGTCATAGCCCCTAGTTTTGGTAAATACAAATTGAAAAGGCCTCAACTTTTACATCTAAAGGTGCTCAAGAATGCTGAAGTAGTGGAATCCTACATGAAGAATCCACAATAAATAACATGGCTATACCTTTGCTGTATATACCCACGTTTCAAAATTGATCCGAGTTTTTACTTAGAAAAAAAGAAGAAGATACGTTACATTAAGAATGACACGAAGAGTATACCATATGAAGATGGTGTGAAATGAACTATGTAAGTGGCATAATCTCTTTATCCCTCTGTTTCCTGAGAGGAGAGAATTCAGTCCTTAAGTCTCATGACCTTTCAACAGCAAAAAGACAGGTGTACAAAATAAATTGAGCAGAATTCTGCTGATATATATATCTTCAAGCAGAAGTGGCCAATCTTTATCCGAAAACAAATTAAAAAAGGAACGAAAGAAAGGAGTTGATGTTAACTGCTTATTTTGGGTCATCCTCTAAGCTTTTCTTGGGTAGGGCAACATGGAGAGACATAAGGAGATAAAATAATAATCTAGATTAATCAGTATATATGGAAAAAGCAAAGGAAATATAACTATAAATTTTGGTGCTCATAGCAACATACAACTCCCCAAGGCTCTATTGCCTATGGACATAATACGATCTGCATGTAATACTGATAAGCCTGTATCACTGATGTTAATATGGATATGTTTACTTCTTCTGTTGCTTACGGAGCATTGTCATCAAACAGAACTTTGTAAAACCGCTTCCTCTCTTCCGGATCAAATATGCCACCTAAATCTCCTCCTTCCTTATCTTGTTCTGATGAAATTTCGTCGCTTTGGCTCCTCCTTTTCTCTGGCTTTGGCATTATCATGCCTCTGTTCCTCTTCTTTTCTAAATTCAATAGATAATGTCTGCGATTATATTCATGGAGTCCCTCCTGCATTAATTCTCCAAACTTCTCCTTGACAACAACAAGAGGGTCCTTTTCGATCAGTTCTGACCCATTATATGCTTCCCTGAGGAGAACTGTATAGATCTGGTATCTGTTAGAAACATAGAATATTCCAGGATGTTTGAGCAGAAAAACATTTAATTTCTCTGGTAAACATAATTCCCTTCTAAAATGGCCCAATTTGAAAATTGATGCCTTTTTCCACAAGGTCAATGACAGTAACTCATGCACTACTCCCACTGTTCTCTTGTCCATTTCCTTTGAACCATCCACTAAACCATCAAGTCCAAGATAAGGTGAAATATATGGAGTAGAATTAAAATCTTCAAATCTTTCCCATGATTTGACCCAAGTCGGAGGCAAGGAGCACGGGAAACCTGGCTCTCGACCATCCTTTATGGCCTTTCTTTCGATTGCAGAAACTGCTAAATCAGGGTTCCAGGCTGTGAGCTCAATCTCCATCGAACTCCGCCTCCCGGTGTGGTTAACAACTCTAAATATTTGAGGGTACTTGGGTACAATCCTGAGCAAATAATCATCAGGAAATCCAAAATTCCTCCTCAATTCGTTAAGTTTCATAATATTCAGCCTTTGATCACAGCTCATCATCAACAACTTTGTTAATCGCTCAGCATATATCGGTTCCTGCATATCCTTAACAGACTCTTCCTCTTCAGTCAAAAACATCATTCTTTTAGTCAGACCACAATAGTACTCATCATTCTCAAGGTAGACTTCAAAGCAACAAGGATACTTTTTCAGCCAATTTAGAGCTTTGCCTTGAAGATCAAGAGTGTTGAACTTCTTCTGCAGGTATTTTACTGATGCAACCTGGTTAGGACATCTCATAATAATGTTCTTAATCTGATTATTCACTATCCATCGACGATTTCTATGTAATGCACCTTCAAGATCTGGATCTTTCTTCATTGACCAAAGAGAAAACCTTCGCCGAACACAAATATTAAACATTGTATCCCACAAACTCAAGTACCCATTTCTCTGGCTTTTCACATAAATCTGAGTTGCCATTCCTAATCACCACTTACATATATACCAACTAGCAGGGGCGGATGTACATATGCAGTATGAGCTATGAGTTTAGCAGAACCCAGTAACTTTGGCTCAGACTCTTATATGTACAAATATCAAATTTGGAACCCATTAACTCAAATGGACATAGGGTTCAGTGGGGTTCTCGAACCCATAAAGTTCAAATTTAAATCCGCCTCTGCCAATTAAGATGTAATTACTGCTTCAGACAAGTAAATAAAAGCTATTATTTGAGAACCTCATTACTTTAAATAGTAGAATAACATCAAAACATCAACCAAATACTCCGCCAGTACCGCCACGGAGAACATATGAAATCAAATAAGTTTCACTTAAGGGCTACTATCCTGAACCCAATTGCTTAAATTTGTAGAATCATAAGAAAATATGCAGCAAAGATGAATTCTTGCTTGCTAATAAGAAATGAGGATGTCAGTAGATTTATCAATCAACTGAAATTTTATAAAACGGACCTTTATAAGGAAGGAAAAGCACAAAAGCAATTTCTGTTCAATTTTCTTATGGGGCTAGCGGCTTTCAGTAACAGACATTTTCATTTATCTCTCTCTTTCTTGTTTTGCCTCACACACCTCGGACAACATCATAGTACGCCTTTTGACAAATTACAGATCACAGTTTTTCTTCTACTACTACTAATACTCAAAATCCCTTGTATTTCGGCCATCCTAATTCCTAATTTAGACGTATGGTTGGTAAACGAAGCGGGTCAAACCGGATATGATGACGTTTTACTGGGGCAAGTGCACAGATACCCATGGCCTCGTGAGTCGTGACCCCCTATTTAAGGCATAGCCAAAATTTATAAATTTTTGTAAGTTTAGCCATTTCAAATTCAACTATATGCATGCACAATCGAATTTGCAAAAAATCGGGTTGGAAATTACAAATTTGCCTAAGTTTGGCAAAAAGTCGTTTGTGCAAACAAATTTCTGACAGTTTTGCCTGAACTTCAAATATACACAACTGAAGTTGAACTACAATGTTTGACATTTATGTATGCCAAAGCCAAAAAAAATCCCCTAATTTGCTTTCTTATTTACGGTTACAGTGTGGGGTCCATCCCATGAATGTGAAAGACAAACTTCCTTTGTCATAAAGTACTACCAAATCTATAGAAAAAAAATGTGATTTGGGTTGACAGATTTTTATTGCTTTCAAAAGGTGAAAGTTTGACATTTCTATTATGATGATGTCATCTATGATGCAAGTAAAAAGAATTGGACGTCTATAAATAGATAGCTCCTGATTCAGTTAAAGATACACAAACAAAGAGAGAAAAAAGAGTGATGTTTCACAAACAAGGTATAAGAAAATAGTATGTGAGAAAAATAGAGAGTGAGCGATATTGTAGTGAGTTGGGAATATCAAAAGAGAATTATTTCTTTTGCGTATTGTTGTGATCTTTGAAGTATTTTACTTGAACCTATAAAGTGTAAAATTCCTTACTATAGTAATAACAGTTGCTCGTCTCGGGACCGTGGCTTTTTCCTTATTCAAAAGGATTTTTCACGTAAAAATCTTGGTGTCGTTGTCACTCTTTTATTCTTGCTAATGACCGTATCTCGGTGCTACGTTATTATTCCTCTTTTATTACTGTGAATATTATTTCTGTAGGGGGTTTATTCGCAACAACTGGTATCAGAGCACATGTTTTGCTCGTTCACAAAAATACTATTCACTGTCGATAGTACTATACTTAGTGAAAAATAAAAATGTCCGGAGTAAAGTACGAGGTAGCAAAATTTAACGGAGATAGCGGTTTGTTAATATGGCAAAGAAGGATGAGAAATCTGCTCATCCAATAAGGATTACACAAGATACTAGATGCTGATGCCAAAATGCCTGATACCATGAAAGCTGAGGATTGGGCTGATTGGATGAAAGGACTGCTAGTGCAATCAGGTTGCACTTATAAGATGATGTAGTAAATAACATCATTGATGAAGACACCGCACGTGGAATTTGGACAAGGTTGGAAAGCCTATATATGTCCAAAACGCTAACAAATAAATTGTACTTGAAGAAGCAGCTATACGCCCTACACATGGGTGAAGGTACGATTTTTTTGTCATATTTAAATGTGTTTAACGGATTAATCACACAGCTCACCAATCTCGGAGTGAAAATCGAGAAAGAAGATAAAAGCCATCTTGCTGTTGAACTCATTGCCATCTTCGTACGATAATTTGGCAATAACCATCCTGCACGGTAAGACTACCATTGAGTTGAAAGATGTCACATCGGCTCTTCTACTCAATGAGAAGATGAAAAAAAAGCCTAAAAATCAAGGACATGCTCTCATCACAGAAGGTAGAGGCAGGAGTTATCAAAGGAGTTCGAGCAACTATGGTAGATCTGAAGCTCGTGGGAAGTCTAAGAACCGATCCAAATCAAGAGCTAGAAATTGCTACAATTGTGATCAACCAGGTCACTTCAAAAGAGATTACCCAAATCCAAGGAAGGGCAAATGTGAAACTAGTGGCCAGAAGAATGACTACAACACAACCGCCATGGTGCAAAATAATGATAATGTTATCCTCTTTATAAATGAGGAAGAGGAATGCATGCACTTATCAGGTCCAGAGTAGGAATGGGTGGTTGATACAACAACATCTTACCATGCCACACCGATAAGAGATCTTTTTTGCAGATATGTAGCAGGTGATTAAGGCCTTGTGAGAATGGGTAACACAAGTTACTCAAAGATTACGGGGATTAGTGACATTTGTATCAAGACAAATGTCGGATGCACATTGGTTCTGAAGGACGTGCGACATGTACCTGATTTGCGGATGAATTTGATCTCGGGAATTGCTTTAGATCGAGATGGATACGAGAACTATTTTGCAAATCAAAAGTGAAGACTCACCAAGGGATCATTTGTGATTGCAAAGGGAGTTGCTCATGGCACGTTGTACATGACAAATGCAGAAATATGCCAAGGTGAATTGAACGCGACACAAGATGAGATTTTTGCAGATTCGTGGCACAAAAGAATGGGTCATATGAGCGAGAAAGGATTGCAGATTCTTATCAAGAAATCATCCACTTCTTATGCCAAAGGTACAATGGTAAAACCTTGTGACTACTGTTTATTTGGTAAGCAGCATAGAGTTTCATTTCAGACATCGTCTGAAAGAAAATTGAATATACTTAATTTGGTATATTCTGATGTTTGTGGTCCAATGAAAATTGAATCGATGGGCAGTAACAAATATTTTGTTACTTTTATTGATGATGCTTCACGAAAATTATAGGTTTATATTTTGAAAACCAAAGATCAGGTGTTTATGTTTTCCAGAAGTTTCATGCTATGGTGGAAAGGGAGACAGGCCAAAAGCTAAAGCGTCTCCGAAGTGACAATGAAGGTGAGTACACTTCAAGGGAGTTTGAAGAGTACTGTTCGAGCCATGGGATCAGACATGAAAAGACAGTTCCTGGAACCCCACGACACAATGGCGTAGCCGAAAGGATGAACCGCACCATTATGGAGAAGGTGAGAAGCATGCTCAGAATGGCTAAACTACCTAAGTCATTCTGGGGTGAAGTAGTTCAGCCAGCCTGCTACCTGATCAATAGGAGTCCATCAGTTCCGTTGGCGTTTGACATCCCAGAAAGAGTTTGGACCAACAAGGAGGTGTCCTACTCGCATCTGAAGGTGTTCGGTTGCAGAACTTTTGCACATGTACCAAAGGAGCAGAGAACAAATGTTACACCCCATGTTTTCGTACGTAAAAGTACACCATGAGTAAATTGATGAAAGCTCGAAAATGAGATATTACATCCCGCATTTTCGTACATTAAAGTTTCGTCGAAGTTTGACATTTTGGGATAAAATACGGGCCGAGCTAAAATACCCGATATTCATGGACTAGTACCATACAAGGTACCACATGGCCATGATGGTAAGGTGTATAAAGTGTGTTAAAAGTGAGTAGTATTTTAAATAATTTAAGATAATTCTTAATTATATGGATAATTAGTTAATTATTAGATTAGTGAGAGATTAAAAAGTTAATTAAGAAATTAGTGAATAATTAATGATAATCTTGGATACGTTTAAAGAGGGCAACGTGGCAGCAAGATATATCAAATTAGTGACTCTTAATGTTGTATGGTAAGGTGGCAAAATAAGAGAGTTAGGTGGCTAAGTCATTCTAAGTGGGTCCCACACCCACCAAAAGTTAAAAGCCCTCTCTAAATCACTTAAGAGATGCAACAAGTTCTCTTAAGAAAGAAGCTTCAGCAAGATCTTAAGAATTAAGAAAGAAGCCTTAGCAAGTTCTTAAGAATTATATGATGTGATAGCAACATACAAAGTTCATACAAGACCACATAATACAATAGTAACGTGAGTTACTTCAACAATTCATGCGAGATTGTGTCTTAACAACGTGAGATCACATATACATTTAACAAAGGAAAGCCACTGTAAGTCTTAGGAACGTGAGGGTCATATATCAAAACGTGAGATTTTGCAATTATAAGGGAGTACAATGCAATCTTTCTCAAGAATATCATACGGATATTTCCCTACTTCGATCCGCCATTACGCGTTATCGCAATCAACGATATTAAAGGAATTGTCAAGAGAATCAGTTCAGGTATGTTAAGGCTATCCCTTCTTTTTTTTGGCATGATCTATACGACACGAATGAAATGAGCAAATGCACAACTTCCATAAATGACTCTATTCATAGAAATACTACAAATGCTTATGTTCTTGATTTTTCATGTGAATTATTATTATATCTTCTATTCATGGGTCTCAGAAAAATACCTATTTGATAAAATTTATCCGACAGGCATATTATTTTTATGACATTCCTAGAAAATCTTATTAATGTATTTCTTAAGGCATATTATTTTTATGACATTCTGAGAAGATATTATTAACGTACTTCTTATGCATTTCATGCATTTATACATATACATTGACCCATGACCAGATGGCGTTATATACGCGTATATATGTATATTATATGTATATGGAATATGGGAAAAGGTTATGGCGTTATATACGCACCACCACCTGATCAGCTGGTATATGTTGATGATTTGCCCACAGTGGCCGAAATGATGTGATGGGATGCCCTCAGAGGCTTGATGATGTTATGAACGCATATACCTATGCATGGTATGACATTTATACGCATATTCATGACACTATAAAAATGAAATGATTCACAGAGCTTTGCAGACGTACATGTCGAGTCTTTTACTCCATGTTTCTCTCATGTCTATTATTTACTGATTT